AACATGGTGAGGTCACTTTCCTGTGGCCGATTAAATTGAACATGACCAAGACAGCGAGTCCCCTGTGGGCTTTCAGGAAGTGGCCTTACAGGCGCAGAGACACCGATATCACACGCACGCCCGTCCATGTGCTGTTCTCTGCTGCTTTACTTATAGGGACCCAGGGTTTTCTATAATAAAGGGCTTCTGCTCCTCATTCTCCAGCCACTCGCCTCCTACTCTCCTCCTGCCATGTCAGCTGCTGCTCTCCCACTCCTGGGCAGCTTTTTTAAGACCTGTCATTGAGAGCTACTGCCAAGTATCTGTGCCACCCAGAGTTTCCATGGAGCCGGCTATCAGCAGAGGTGCTTGGAGTCGGAGAGCGCTGGGCGAGAAAAGCATGGAGGGGAGAATCAGAGGAGGAAATAGGTGTCGAGGGCTGTAGGAATGAGAGGAGACAGACCGAGCCGTTTGGTGGGGAAGATGGCAGCCGTGGAGGAAAAGTGAGGCTTGACTGAGGTAGCGTTTGTACGTGTTTTATGGAAACACACAGCATCTCTCATGCCATACCTAGAGCAGAGACATCTGAGAACAGGCCAGCACCTGCAGCCCAGAGCCAGCCAACAGATTCTCCTCTGGCAGCCCTTTCGCCCTCTTGGAGATGCCTTCCCACCTTGCTCGGAGGAGCCTCCCGGCCATGCAAGGCCTGCAGCAGTGCACTGAGGTGTGGGGTTCCGCCTGCAGTTTGGCTGCACCTGGGGGCTTTCCCTTCTCCAGAAGGATGAACTGGCTCCATGCATAAGTGAATCCAGTGGCTAAGAAGCCCAGCAGTGAGCCGCCTAGCAGCCACGTTGGGGCTGGGCTGCCACGCTGCGTTCTGCCCCCATGCTGGCTCCTTGCACAATGCCCATGCTTTAGGGTTGCTGTTCGGTTACTTACACGGCACTAGGGATGTGCACGGGACTTGGCGAGCACATAAAAGAGCATCTCTCCCGCACTGCCGTGGGTTTGGTGTGTTTCTCCCAGGAGACCAGTCTGTATCGTTTGATAGCCCTTCCTACCTCTCAGGGGTGTCGTGAGGATAAATACACCTCAGCTGCCATGGTAAAGGGGGCCATACAAGTGCCTACAACAGAGATTTGTACACCCCCATAGCGACTGGTACAAACTCCCTCGACGTTTTATGCCTGTGCAACTTATATACGGTGTTTTCACTGGAGCACTTATTCCAGTATAAATATCCCTTTGCAGACAGTTCCTGAGTAAACTGTCTAGACTGGCATGATTTTCCGCAAATGCTTTTAACGGAAAAGTTTTCTGTTAAAAGCATTTGCGGAAAAGAGCATCTAGATTGGCACGGACGCTTTTCCGCAAAAGCACTTTTTGTGGAAAAGCGTCCGTGCCAATCTAGACGTGCTTTTCCACAAAAAAGCCCCGATCACCATTTTTGCCATCGGGGCTTTTTTGCGCAAAACAAATCTGAGCTGTCTATGCTGGCCCTTTTGTGCAAAAGCTTTGCACAAAAGGACTTTTGCCCGAACAGGAGCAACATAGTATTTCCGCAAGAAGCACTGATTTCTTACATGAGATCGTCAGTGTTCTTGCAGAAATTCAAGTGGCCAGTGTAGACAGCTGGCAAGTTTTTCCGCAAAAGCACTTGCTTTTGCGGAAAAACTTGCCAGTCTAGATGCAGCCTGTAAGTGTTACTCCATCACTTACTTCTTTGCTGTTGTGGGTCTATTATTATGTGATGGAGTGCTGGATCTAGAGCAGTTTGCTTTGATCCTTGTTAATGTTATGAAAGGGGCTGTTCAGTGACCTGTTCTGCTGGCTCCTTGCTTGTATCACTGGTTGAGCAATCAAAGTATAGTACACAGTAGGGATATAAGAACTAGTCCCTCGAGTAGTCGCTTCTCCCCCCACCTTTCTGCCTCTATCAGAGACAGCAAGTGAGGGGCGGGGGGAGAGCAGGAGCTGGTGCTGGGAGTAGCTGGGAGAGCCGATTCCTGGCTTGCACCGGGTCCCCCAAACTGCAGTTTAGCCTTTTAAATATATAAAGAGCCTACTGGCTCTTCATGCATTTAAAAGGAAGAGCCACAGCAGGGTTAGTTCCTGGGGCCAGGACCTAACCCCACCCTGGCTTCCCTGATTGACTAATCGACTAGTTGATAAATTGATTAAACTAGATGTAACATCCCTACTACACAGCTTGCCAGTGAAATAAACTAAACCACAGTGTTTCCTGCTCTTAGGGTTTATTGCTACAAGAGGTTAGATGTTTTTCTTCAAGCTTCAGCTGCTGTTTTTATGTGAATGCCTGAGAGTCTCAGCTGTCTTAGTTTAAAAAAAACCCAAAAAATTACCATTGGGTTGTGCAGAAAAACTTGAAAATGTGACGCCCTTAAAGCTTTAGAACCAGGAAGCAAAAGTAAAGAACCTAGTGTTCCTTACTTCAAAATCTCATGATTTTAGGCCAGTCTGATGATTTTGGGAAGCCTGGTTGATGGTGTTGAATGAGTAGGTTTGGCAATACCATAAACAGGATATTCTGCTTCTTGTGTATGACAGGCAAGATACAATACTCCTTGGAGCATAAGGTCACTCTGCAGTTCTGATTAATGTACTCTGTTCTGTACCTCTGATTCGATGGAACTTTTTGAAATTGTCAAATCAGTCATTGGCAGCATGGTTCTTAGGTAACACTGTAAAGTACACTAAAGGTACGTCTAGCCTACATGGCTCCATCGACGGAACCATGTAGATTTGTTTGTTCGGCAAAGGGAAATAAAGCAGCAATTGAAATAATCGCAGCTTCATTTAAATTTAAATGGCTGCCGTGCTGAGCCGACAAACAGCTGATCGGCTGTTTGTCGGCTCAGCACGGCAGCCATTTAAATTTAAATGGCTGCCGTGCTGAGCCGACAAACAGCTGATCGGCTGTTTGTCGGCTCAGCACGGCAGCCATTTAAATTTAAATGGCTGCCGTGCTGAGCCGACAAACAGCTGATCGGCTGTTTGTCGGCTCAGCACGGCAGCCATTTAAATTTAAATGAAGCTGCGATTATTTCAATTGCTGCTTTATTTCCCTTTGCCGAACAAACAAATCTACATGGCTCCATCGACGGAGCCATGTAGTTTAGACACACCCTAAGTTATCTATACTTTAATAATTGATACTTTAGTAATATAAACTATTTTTAAATAATCATTCTCGTCTATTCTAATATTGAAAACGTATGATGATAATACACAATAATACACTACGAAGACAGAGTCATCTAAGGATCTCAAAACACTTGACAAACATTCATTCATTAAGTCTGACAACTCTGTGAGCTACGTAAGGGATTCGTAATGAGTTTACCCACCACTGAAATACAATTATCTCTGGGAGCAGTGGGGGGGCGGAGCTGCTATTTAGCAGCACTCAGCAACATTGCTCCATGGTTTAGGATAAGAAGCAGGAGGAGAATACCGGTTTAAATGTAAACTGCAGCAGCCGCTTAGCATTACCGAGACATAGGGATAAATTGCTATAAATGATTAATACCTAAATCATTGATGCTAAAATAATTTTAAGTGTGAAAGAGGAAGGAGGATATTGAAGTTAAAGCATAGGCCGGGTTCTATTCCCAGCACTAGATGTGGATTCTTCTCCCAGATCTGCCACAAGAAATTCAGGCCCCGTTTTTCAAAACTGTCCATCCACTTGGGTGAGCAGGTTGAGACAGCGAGGGATTGATTTTTCAGAGGTACTGAGCACTCTCAGTTCCCACCAGCTTCTCTGGAGTCATGGGCGCCTCCGTGGCTGAAAGTAGGGTTCAGGGGGTCTTCCACGAGGCACCCCAAAAATCAGAGCAGTCCAAACGAAATGGACACATTGGAACATTGTGCTTCCGTTTTCCTCTCTGTCAGATGGGAAGAAGGGTAGCTGCTACCCAAAAGTGGAGCAGGGGTGAATTTGTTGATTCTAGTAAAGCACTTTGATGTCTTTGGATGGGAAATGCCAAAGGTGCAGGGTGTTCTTATAAAACATGGTTTTAGAGTAACCTGGTACAATGCACAGTCACCGTGGTCTTTTTCCAGGTGTGAAATATGGATTGTCATTCCTCCTCACCCCCCAGTGTCCATGTTGTGCACAGAGCACAAGCCAGCAACCTGGGCCTCTCCTTACCTCCTTTTTTATGAATGTTCACCCTGATGGTGCTCAGGACTCCAGCCATGCAAACAGCAAGCTCCTATTAAAGTCACTGGGAGCTTGGAAAAAGCTAGGCTGGCAGGACCAAACACCAATGCTAGCATGGGTCTGAAAGTATTTAACACCGCCTTTTGGCCACTCAAGGAGTAAGGTACCACTCACCCTAACAACTCCTCTGGCCACTCAAGGAATAAGGTACTACTCACCATAAGTAAAGATGGCAGAAGCTGGCCTGTAGGAGCTGGTCAGTGCTGCTGGATCAGAATCTAAGTTTCTCAGCATCAGGTTGGTGGATATTTGGACTCCAGAAGACATTCCTTACCTGGCGAATCAAATTATGAGCCTCAGACATGAGCCTGATCATGTTTTTTTTTAAATTACTCCCTTCGCCTTTTGCATTGCATCGGGGGACACAGGTTTTTGAATGTTCCTAGCTACTCACATAAACCGTTGCCGGGCCAGAGGCTTTGGCCTTGAGAACTATTTTGATTTGAAGTTTTCCAATAAAAGCCTAAAACCTTTGCACAGGCATTGCTTAGGCCTTGATTCAAGGAAGCACTTAAGGGTCTGCTTAACTCTTAAGCTTGTTCTTATCTCCCATTGAACTCAATGGGACTGAGTGGGAGTTAAGCACCTGCTTAAAGTTAAGCAGACACTTAAGTGCTTCTTGAATCAGGGTCTTCGGCAAGACTCCAGTGAGCGTTTTGCCGGAGTTGGGACTGCAGGACTTGGCCTCTGTCTCATTACTTTTGCTTGTCTCGCGCACTGGAAAATGCGTTAAACCTTTGTGAATAATAATTTATTGTTTCTAACCCCTTCACAGGAGTGTTTGCATTTGGACTTTTTGCCACTGACATATTTGTAAATGCTGGCCAGGTAGTGACGGGGAACTTGGCTCCGTACTTCCTGACGGTGTGTAAACCCAACTACACAGGCAGCGACTGCCGGGCTCACCACCAGTTCATAAACAATGGGAATATCTGCACCGGGGACCTGGAAGTGATTGAAAAGGCCAGGAGATCCTTTCCATCCAAACATGCTGCTCTGAGCATTTACTCAGCCCTTTACGCCACGGTAAGTGCCCAAGCTATTTGCCGGTTCCCCTGACGGGTTTCAGTTGCTATAGCTACTGTCTCATTTAGCCTCCTACATCCTTTTCTTTTGTGAATGCAGGATGGGGGAGAGCCCTGCTTTTGTCATGGGGGCAATGGTATTTCTGGCCCAAATGCATCACTGGTGTAAGCAAGTGCAACTCCCCAGACCCTCAGTTCTAATCCCAACTCTGCCACTGACTTTATGTGACTTAGGGGGAATTACTTAACCTCTGCCTCAGTTTCCTGACCTATAAAATGATGATGATAATATACTCACCTACCTCCCAGGGTAGCTATTTACTTAGAGTCAGTACAATATCAAGTGGTAAGTGTTACTATTTTGGGGAGAGTCTTTTCTGCTTAGTCTGAAGTTTAGTCCCCTGATAGGGATAAATTTCTCATGCAACCAAAGGTCCCATTAAAGGCGGTGTTGCAATTTTGCCAGCATAATAAAGATAAGATTGAGTCCTTGGGGTACAGTTTAAAGGTGACAATGCTATCCTGCCACGTGGGGAAAATTCAAAGTTTGTAAAAGCCCCTTTAAAATATCATTCATCTTTGTTTTCTCTGGCAACATTAGCATTGACCTGTAGCATAAGACTAGTCATGGCTTGCGTAGGGCTATATAAGTGATAGAGTAAGGACTATGACAATGTTGAAGACGTTGCTAGTTTTGCCGTTCAATGGGCTAGATTCTGATAGCAGACCCCCACCCCCAAATTAATGCAGCTGTTCAGGAAGTTAGTCTTTTAGGGAGGAAAACTGAGTCTTGTTGTAAAGCCTTCTGCTGATGGAGAAGTGGAAACGTTAACACTTCTTTTTACAATCTGGTCTCACTTAAAACATGCACCTTTTACAAATGCTTTTGGATCTAGATTTTATTAAATCCAGAGCACCAATAGCTTGTCTCATCAATAATGTCATATGCTTCAGGGGATAGCCGAGTTAGTCTGTACAGGATAAACTTAAAAAACAATGAATAGTCTGGGAGCACTTTAAAGACTAACAAAACATGTAGATGGTTTTCCCATGTGAGTAATTACACTAGTCTTCTACTCCCAGAAAACGAGTGTAAATGAATGTTTTCTATAGTATAAAATTGGCAGTTATCACATTAGGACTGGATTCAAGTATGAGAGGAGTATTGCCATTCCCTCCACATCTATCAATGTAATATATGCATCATGTGCCAGAAATGCCCCTCTGCTATATACATCAGCCAAACTGGACAGTCCCTACATAAAAGAATAAATGGACACAAATCAGATATCAGGAATGGTAATATACAAAAACCTGTAGGAGAACACTTCAATCTCCCTGGACACACAGTGGCAGATCTAAAGGTAGCCATCCTGCAGCAAAAAAACTTCAAGACCAGATTACAAGGAAAAACTACTGAGCTACAGTTCATCTGCAAATTTGACACCGCCAGTTTAGGATTAAAGAAAGACTGTGAATGGCTAGCCAACTACAAAAGCAGTTTCTCCTCTCTTGGTGTTCACACCTCTATATCAGCTGCTAGAAGTGGGCCTCACCCTTCCTGACTGAATTAACCTTGTTTATCTCTAGCCTTATTTATACCTGCCTCTAGAAATTTCCACTACATGCATCTGACGAAGTGGGTCTTTGCCCACGAAAGCTTATGCTCCAATACATCGGTTAGTCTATAAGGTGCCACAGGACTCCTTGTCGCTAGGGCTGAATTGTTACTTTCAAGAGCTGATAAAGTTCACTGGGACATTCTAAAATCATGATGGCAGAACTTGGGGTAGCAA